AGGTGAAGTTAGATGAGAAAAACACATAGAAGGAGGGTTGAATATGTGTCTGAATGTGAACAAAGGAATTTAAAAACATTTTCGCAAGCATGCTTTTTTTCGTTCAATAAAATAATATTCGTAAATGCCAACCACAAATTCCCAGGATTGGTTCAACAATATATTTTTGTGTCTAGAAATTTCATCGTCAGCTAGTAAACAATACTACTTAAACAAAAAACTTTTCTTTTAGGAATCAGTTGAACAAGTATGGTTTTCATCTGAAGATAGTTTTGATAGACGACAAGCATTAGACGAAGTTTTCAATATATTAAATCAATCAAATAAAGTGTGTCTAAAATATTAGAGTGTAGAGCAAGTATTTTTATACTAGTTCACTCAAACTAAGCTACGTCCAGTCTCCTTCAAATGAAGGGTTCCACTAGATAAACAATTAACTCCAAGTATTGTTTGTTCAGGCTCGCAGTGAGTATTATATACCACCCAGGTCACGACCACTCCTGGTCCCAAGTATTCTCAACCACTTCTAGCTCGTCAACTTCACTCGCAGATGCAAGTATTCTTAAACCACTTCTGGTTGCCCGAGTATTCTCAACCACTCCTGGTTCGTCAACTTCACTTGCTGACGCTAGTATTCTTTGCTCAACCACTTCTGGCTCTCAATAAGTATTATCGACCAACTCTTGGCCCGTTGACTTCACTCATCAATGTTAGTATTCTTTACTCAGCCACTTCTGGCTCGTAGTGAGTATTCTTTGACAAGCTTCTCTTAACTAGGCAGGTTTGGTTTGAGTGTATGGGTTACTCTCATAGAGAGGATACATAGGTTTCTACACTCACTAAGGTATGCAACCTTAGTCTTTACAACGACTAAGTGTTTGGTTTGCTCTCATGGAGGGGATACATAAGTTGGTACACTCACTAAGGTTTTGTTCCTAAGATACACATGTTTGGAACTCCTTAGTCTACAGAGATGAATACACTATGGTACATTTGACTCTATACGCTCTATCTTTTCGTTGTTTTTATGGGCTTGATATCACTCTTTTTTTAACTTGAATCGATCTAAGCCAAACAACCAACCTTTTTCAGTTTGAGGTAGTGATATATATAGTCCTTGTAGAATTTTCCTATTGCAAGTGTCCGTTGAGTAGATATAGTCATTCATGACTAGTTCAATCTACTCATTTAATGCTTGAGTTCTTTCATTAAATGTTACTTCCTATGATAGACCTTGCATTAAGTCTTCTTTACTTTGGTAGAAGCAATGTCTAAATTTAGCAGGGACCTAGGAACCTTTTTGTCCTTTTTCTGGTCATATAGGTGTAGAATGTTGTCCTTTTTCAGAAAAAGTAATGTACTTTTTCTGACACATGGATGCTTTTGCTTTTGCGTGTTTTTCTTCTTCTTCATTTCTTCACTTTGATCACGCGTTTATGTTGAGGGCATTTGAGTGATTGTAGACGATGCCTTGGTTTATCTTTTGAGACTTGATTCTTTAATTGCTTGCGTGGCAGTCTTCGTCTACGTCTGTTGGTCTTGTGCATCTCAATATTTACCTTAGTCTGAGCATCTGAGCTTAGTCCTTTGACTTTTCTCTTAATCTGGTCAACATTACAGGTGGACAAACTTTGTTTTTCGTCTAGAATACCTTTCAGTCTGTGCTGTCCTTAGTCTGATACATAGTTGACTCTCTTTTGACCAATGCTTCGTCTAATTTGCGCTCTAGGTTGTTCTTGACACACTTTTTTTTCCTGATAATAGACTCATAGTCGTCTGGTGCACATATCAACCTTTATCTATTCAGTTAGCTTGATTTGTCTGATTCTCATGATGTGCCTTTCCTTCACTGTTCTTCATTTGAGTTGACCATTTGGCTTCATCTGATGTTTGTATGGACTTCATCTGATGTTTAACTTATTTTTGTCTTATTCTAGATTTAGCCTTGTTTTGGCCTTTCGTCTGATACTTCAAGGTTTCAAATGGTAGTAGGCTTCATCTAGTGTTTGTTGAATGTTCTTCCGTCTTTGATTGGACCTGATCTTGATGCTTGAGTAGCCATCATCTGATTCTCTTGTTTAGTTTGTCCAAGTTTCGTAGATCTTGCATTAAATTTTTGCTTGCCCTATCTGTGTTTCACGAAGTATTTTGTACCATTTGTTTACTTCTATGTATGGAATTAATCATGACCTAGAAATCTCTGTACTTTCCTGGTATTGTAGCTATATAGGCGTTGTCTTTTGCTGACTGGTAGGTGTACTTGCTCTGACACATGCAGCTTTGACTTGTGGATAAGCGCTAGTCCATTTTTCTCTTCTCTCTTCTTCTATTTTGATGACTTCATGTATTCTTCTGAGAGTGTGGATGCCAGGTAGTTCTTCTCGTTGTGACTTCAAACGAAATCCAACATTCTTGGTTTTCGTTTGTGTATTTGAGTCTCCGTCTGGTTAGCTATGCAAGCTCTTGACTCCGTCTAGGATGCTTTGATTTAGTTTTGTCCATCGTCCATGGTCTTGTATCATTTGAGGCTTCATTATTTTCTTTCTTGTACTGGACTTGATTTTTTTTGGTCTCCTCATCTGATGTCTTGTTAGCTTTTACCCTTCATCTTGGTTGCTCATGCTCTATTCTTTATTCTTCAGCTTGCCTGTACTTATGTCTTTATCTGAAAAACTAACACATTTGTTAGATATAACAATATGCATTATATTTGTCTCATTCAAAACCTTACTAGAAATTGCTTGGTCTGACTTAACATAAGGGTGATTTAGTAGCCCAGAACAAGCTATTCCAAACTATTTAAAAGGCCTATAAACCCTAGTTGGGAACGGGCCGTTCCAAACATGGCCGTTGTGAGTTAAAAATCAACTCTAGAACGGGCCGTTCTGGTTTAAGAACGGGCTCTTCTAGATGAAAATTTAACACATGATGAATGAATCCATAACGGGCCATTCTAGATCCGAAACAGGCCATTCTGGCCACTTCTGATGTCCATAAATAACATACTCAGGCACTGATTCTTAACACGCTCTCTGAAGACCAAGGAGAACCAAGAAAAGGAGATCAACCAGATTCTATTCTAGCTTCATCTTCTGCTTATCCAAGTAAGGGGGAGTGAGAAACCTCGCTCGGGTGTCTAGGACTAATTGTTGGGTAGCAAGATTGGCCCCCAATCCCTTGCCTGATGAATGCTTCTAGGAACAGGCAAAATATGAAAGTTTTTTGTGTTGCTTTCTGAATGTTCTGTTGCATTCCTTGTGTGATGTTAAGTGTAAATATGTGTTTGATTTCAAAATTAGATAAGTTTTTATATGAATTAGAGTGTTCTGTGGGTTCTTGTGGGAACCCTATGAGAAATAGGAAAATTTTGAATATTTTCTATTTTACCTTCTGAGTTTTTTGTTGTGTTTGCTGATGACTACTAAGCATGAATGTATATTTAATTTTGAGTTTGAATATGTTTTGATATGAATTAGAGTGCTCTGTGGAGATAATGTGAATATGATGAGACAATATGAAAAGTGAATATAAGATATGAAATATGATGATATGTGACAATGAGACATGATATATGAGTAACTATGACAAGTAAAGTGACGAGTCCATGAATGTGTGTGACATGCATCATGTGCATCTATGTGGTGTACAATATGGAGTACACCGTTAGGGAATGCCCTCCTTGTGTAACAGCTTGGGGGAGTCCTAGGGGATAGTTTCTTGAGTTCTTCAAACACTTTCTCATAACTCTCTGTCCATGAAAAGCGATCATTTTTTCTCAAACATTGGAAGAGTGGCAATGACTTGTTGGCGGCCTTTGAGAGGAATCGTGAAAGGGACGCCATTCTTCCTACCAGCTGTTGAACCTCCTTCACCGTCGTTGGGTTTCTCATGTTGATAATCGCCGAGCATTTGTCAGGACTCGCTTCAATGCCGCGATGAGTAAAAAAGAAGCCAAGGAACTTTCCCGCTTAGACTCCGAATGAGCACTTGGTTGGGTTTAACTTGAGCTGGTACCGTCCAATGGTGTCAAATAATTCTTGGAGATCAGCAAAATGTTGAGTCACACTTACCGACTTCACCACCATATCATCCACATATGCTTCTACATTCCTGCCTAGTTGACCTACCAGTACCTTATCCATCAGGCGTTGGTATGTCGCTCCCGCATTCTTCAGTCCAAAAGGCATAACCTTATAACAATAATTATCATGATCGACTATGAACGTTGTTTTATCCTTGTTGGTTGGGTGCATTCGAATTTGATTGTAGCCTAAGTACGCATCCATGAAACTCAATAACTCATATCCCAATGCTCCGTCTACCAAGCAGTCTATGTTGGGCAAAGGGTAAGAATCTTTCGGACAAGCCTTATTCAAGTCAGCGAAATCTGTGCACATTCTCTATTTTCCGTTATTCTTCTGTACCATCACCATATTTGCCAGCCACGTCAAGTATTGAATCTCTCAGATATGATCTGCCGCCACCAACTTCATAGTTTCCGCTACTTCAGCTCTCCTTTTCTCTTCTCTGAATTTTCTCCTTTTTGGATTACAACTTTTGCTTTGGGATCTACCATAAGTTGGTGACACAGGAAATCGAGATCAATGCCAGGCATATCATTAGCACTCCATGTGAAAGCCGATATGTTATTTCTTAACACTACTATCAGTTTCTCCTCATCTTCTTTTATTAAAGAAATCCTGATCTTAACATTTTTGCCTTCTGTCAAGCTCACCTCTTTTACGTCTTCGGTTGGGGTAGGACGGGTGTCAAAATGTATCACTCTCGGATCTAACTCAATATATTGAACCTCCCTCTCTACCTACGTTGCATACAAGTATCTCCTTGCTTTCAAACTATCCTCGTAACACCTCCTTACGACCTCTTGATCGACTCGAAGGACGCCGACCTCTCCATTGAGTAAAGGATACTTCACTTTAAGATGCGATGTTGAGATGAAGGCTCCCAACTTGTTCAATGTGGGTCGTCCAATCAAGATATTATAGGATGACTGCGCGTTCACTACCAAGTAGCGGACGGTAACGGTCTTCATGTGGGGGGCCTTGTCCGAAGGTGGTCTCCAAATTAGCATATCCTCTAGCCATGACCTGATCACCCGCGAAACCTACTAAAGTTCCTGCATAAGGTATAAGTTGGTTAGTTGGTATTTTCATTCCGACAAAAGCTTCCCAAAATAAGATATCAGCCGAACTTCCCTGATCTACCAGCACGCATTTCACGTTGTACCCCATAACGATTGCTGAGATGATTATGGGATCGTCCTTGTGGGGAGACACCCCTTCAAAGTCGGAGTCCGAGAATGTGATGCTTGGCACTGGTGGTTGCTTTAGTTGTCTCACCTTCGATACCGTTGATACTGCATGGGCGTATTGTTTCTGAGATGTCGATGTGGTACTGCCTCCAGCGAAACCTCCCGCTATAGTGTTGAAATCCCCGTGGATAGCTTGTTGATGAATTTTCGACCCCTTGGCTGAGGAGCCCTTGCAAAGAGACCTTTCTTTGTGCCTTTCTCTTCTCCCACTATCTCCTCCATGTCGATGTCTCCTCTCGGACGAGTCTCCATCATCTTTTTTCACAACAAAATTTTTTAAACGTCCTTCCTTAATCAAGCGCTCAATCTGTCTTCCCAAGACAAAACAATTTTTAGTAGTGTGCCCGTGAGTTCTATGAAACTCACACCAATCAGTTTTAAAAGGACCTAATTGATGATCAGTGGCAGTCAAAAAATTGAAGAGCGACGTGCTATTCACATCATATAGTATCTGCCTCTTTGAAACATTGAGTGGAGTGAATTTTTCCTGATCATTGTTTCACGACCAGTCGCCTTTTTGCCTTCTTCTGTAATTAGTCGATCGGTGATTTCCCTCCTTTGTGTTGTAACAATCCCTTTGTTTACTCCAACCCGAGCGTACACGAAGATGCTTATTTTCCTCTTTATTTCCGACTTGCGCTTCTCGGCTTTTTGCCGCTCTTTTACTAATTTGTTCTTCTTCTATTTTTATGTGGCTCAGGGTGAAGGCTCTCACTTCCAACATTGTTTGACAATTCTCTCTTTCTAGTGCGACATCGAAATTGCCCGACGTCAATCCCTTTTGGAAAGCTATGACCACCATCTTGTCATCCAAGGACGTTATCCTCAGAGCCACTTCATTGAAGCTTTGCAAAAAAGTCCTTCAACGACTCCTCTCGTTGTTGCTTGAGATCAAACAAATATGACGTAATCAGCGGTTTCCTCTTATTTGTTGCGAACTGTGCCATGAATAACCGAATGAAGACATCGAAATCGGTAATTGATCGGTCAAGAAGACCGCTAAACCAATCTAAGGCCGCCTTCTTAAGGGTCCCCATGAATAGTTTGCGACGGATTTCCATGCTCCCTCCACAGATCAACATTTGAGCCTGGAAATCCGTTACATGTTGACTGGGATCCTGGGTTCCATCGAAAGGTTCCACCTACGGAACTCGGTGGTCCCTCGGGATGGACTCGACCTCTATAGCCTCCGAGAAAGGTCTAAAGTCCTTTGGGACTTCCGTCATCACATCTTCCTCCACCGGTCTGATACTGACTGTTATCATCGCCTGCATCTCGTTAGCTCGTCGTCTGATCTCCTCGTTCTCCCGTTGAATAGCCTTTTCCCTCTCCCTAGATCGCGCATTTTCCTCTCTCAAACCATTGATCAATGCCATCATCTCCTCCATGGTAGGGTGTTGTGCGTCATGGTTGGGCGCGCCGCCTCTTTCCTTTTGTCCTAAACCTCCCAACTCCTTTTTTGAGATTTGTTCCTTGGGACGTAGGAAAAGTTTTTCCGTGGCTCCACGGTGGGCGCCAAAATGTTCCAGCCGGGGGGGGGGGAAGTCTAGTATTCTTCTCCTAGGTCAAGCCACCCAAGCCAGAGCATTCAAGTGTGTGTTTTGTCCGTCTTGGTTCTAGGGTTGGAGGGTTTATATCTTTTTGTTAATGGGCCTCGTGGGCCTCGTGAATCTCGGGATCCTTTTTAATGATGATATTTTATTCCTGACTCGGCTATGCCTCTTAAAGATTTCTCCCAGCGGCTCTCGGTGGACCCCCTCTCTCCTTTCCTAAACGTCTATCGGTCCCTCCCGGAATTAGACCGAAATGATATACTTGCCTTTCAGTCTTGAGCCTATAAGGCAAAAGGGCTTAAGCGATCACACAGTAGGGATCCCCCGACGCGTACCAAAGGTCTCTGTCATTTTCCTATGGACCGTCTCAAAATTGGACCGACAATGTTAAAATTTATTTATGTTTGATTAACGAATTTTTTTAAAAAAAATTAAAGTATTGCGAACCTTTTACTAGAAGTATTAAGTTTAAATAATATTTTATAATATTTTTAAAATTTAGTTGTTTATTTTAAAAACTTTCATGTATTTTAGGATTAAAAGATGTGATATTTATTATACGTTATAATCTTAATTATAATCATGTTGACTTTTAACTTCAGAAAAGAAAAAGAAAAAAAAGTTTGTGATAGATATTTCACATCCCAATCCAGGTTATATGCACTAAACAACTCAAATTGAATGAAAGAAAGATGAAATTCAACGCAGTTCGATTTGAAACCGTAGGAGATCCAATATGACAGACAAAATTAGTTTAGGCAAATTGGGTTGCTTCACAGCATCACATTATATATTAATAAATGCTTGAAAATGCGAATCAATTACTATCTAGCCTGTTAGCCCCACCTGTTGAAAAAGTACCATATTTATTTATTTTCAGCTTTCTGTCATAAAACTTTGATGTCTGAATTTAAACGATGAATAAGACTTTTCTCAGTTTCTGTCATATATGCATCTTCATTCACAAATGTCAAAATCTCACTGTTTGATAAGGATTAAGCTAGTATTTGGATTCGTGTCCGCATCGCTATCTTCGCTGCAAAGGCATTATCTTTATGTGATTCAAGTAATAAATGAAATTAAGATATAACATGGAGTTTATTTATTTTCATTTACTTTTCGTTTTTTTGGACGTTTATATAAGACTTTTAAAGGTATATGAGTAGTCAATGAGACTAATAATTAAAATGAGGAATTATAAATGAGTTAGAAATGTTTTATTTCTTAATAATAAGAAGAATCATGCGTTCATGGGAATATGATAGTTCTCTATAATGACTGTGATTTACACCTTTAAACTTTTCTTCCTTTATTTTTAAGTCTTTTGAGATTATGTTTGACAACTACTTTTAGTTAATTTTAGCTTTTTACTCGTTGAAAAGTTTATTTGACATTATGAATTGTATTTGACAAAGAGAGTTGTTTTAGTATATTGTAGTGATTTTTTAGAATACTTCGAGTCTTTTTCTTTTTAAAACATTAGTTTCTAGCTTATAGAATTTTACATTTTATTCTCTTTTTATCCTTGAGATATTTATTAAGTTTTCTTATTATAGTTTTTCCTTACATGAGATGAAATTTCGTCATTTTAATTTGTTTGTTTTCCTTCTTTTTGCATTGTTTATTTTCACCATTACATTATTTACATCATTTGTTATATTATTTTAGCAAAATTCTTCAATATATTTTTAACTATAATATTAATGAACATAATAAAAATATGATATCTACTTAAGATATCATAATAAATGTATAATTTTAAGATAAATATTTTAAGATATTTTAAGATAAATAAATAATAAATGTATAATATAAAAATATAATAATTTAAACTAAAAACATGATTAAAACAATTGATATATTAAAAAAATTAACAAGAATTTAAAATTAACTAGTCAACTAAAATTATAAAGATATGAAAATATATTTTATCAATAAAATAAATTTATATAGAAAATCATGTAATTATGTTCTCGTTTTATATTTATCAGCTACTTAAATTTTTCTTTTATCAAATACTTATAATTCAACAAAATATTTTAACAACATTCGGCTACTAGTTAATTGTTCAAATTCGAGTTAACTTTTCAAAAACATTTCCCAAATATATCGTTTTTAATGGTAGACTTTAATAATAATAAAAAGTATCTTAAAAGATAAATCAAGAAATATTATATAAACATTACAAAAAAAAATTTATTGTACAGTAACACAATATCTATTAAAAAATATTTTTATCTATATATTAAATATAATATATATTGTTATATTTTTAAAAAGTATTAATATAGATTATAATAATGTAGAGTTTCGCCCAGATTACTGGCTTGAATTCATTCAAAGGCAAGGAACTGGTTTATCAAAAGGGGTCTAGAACTACAGTAATCTGATACCTTCTTCCCTTAGTCTGAGAGGTAGGTTATGTAGGCTACAACTCTTCTTAGGTGGTATTCGATCACGAATGGCCAAAGAATCGGTTTGTAGTAGTGTGCCTTATATTTATTGCAGAATACCTTTTCTTTTCTGTCTCAAAAATTGTTTTCTTAAATCATATTTTTATGTAATTATATTTTAAATAGATAAATATCTATATATATTATATTTATAGTAATATTTTTTTATATATATTATTATATATAATATTTTTTATAGTGAAAATTATTTAATGTTGGTATATTAAAACGGAAAATGATTGTTTCTCCGAAAAATATGTATAATAATAATTTAAATTATAAAATATTTAATTAAATAAATATTTTATAATAAATTTATTATAAAATATTAATATTTTAAAATTTCAGACAATTATTCGGATAATTATTCTGACTGTGTAGCATAACTCTATTAAAAAGGAACTTCTATTTTAAAAAAGGTACTGCATGATATTTTTGTGTATGTATGTCAGAAACATTTCTCAAATAATATTTTTTCAATGATGGAAAAAGTTAGGCTTTTGTTGAAATATTTTTAAAAAAATCTAATTATTTATCAACTACGTTATATTGTAGTTAATATACAGAAAGCCCTCTTACGTCATACTAAAAGAACACTTGGCTAGGTGATAAATCTCGTCATTTTAATTATTGAGGTAAAATAAACAATGACAAGGGTGTGTTAACTTCATTTTAGAAAAATATATACAGTACAAATGCTGGTGAAACATTCTTAATTCTTTTTTATTAATATTGTCTATTATAAGTTAAAAATATAAATTTTGGTAAGTCTTATATTAAAATTAAGATAGACAAAACAAATAAAATTTATAAATTTTTATAAATTTTAATTAATAAAAAAAATATTAAAAAGAATATTATTCGCATTTTCTTCATAACACTACAAGTTTTTAATTATTACTTTTTCTAACAATAATTGTGTATCTATTGTCTAGGGTGTATTGTGGGACTCTAAGAGTTGAGGAGCTCTTAGGAGTTTAGTTAGTTTTGAAAGTCTTTGGCTAAAAGTCTAGTTAACCGTAAGAGAGGAAGGCATTTAAGGTTTTTATTTAGGACTGAGCCTTATAAGTTCATGTCCTTCAGAACTTTAAAGAGAGAGAATTATAGAGAAAGGAGCTCTGACGTAAAGTTTTTTTCTTCTCTTATTTCTTCTAGGTTCCTCTAGTGCATGAGGATCATTATTGGGCTATATATTCAAAGCTTCAAGCTGGGAATCAAGTTAGTGGTTTGGTGTAGAGCTTCCTGATATCCACGTCGTTATGGAAATCAAATAATTCCAGGTCCTCCAAATTAAAATGTAATGTAGTGAGCTAACCTAGGTCGAATCTCAAAGACAGAAATCAATTTGTTTGAAGATTTTATCAGTTCAATTAGCAAGGGGATTGAAGAACAGTTTAATGAATACTAGATCATAAATTCAAATCAATTGAAACAAGATGGAAATCTAATCAAATGGAAATACCAATTCAAGTCTCAAATTTATACGGTAATAAGGAATTAATCTGAATTCCACTGTTTATCATTCAATTCGAATTGGAGAACGAAGAACACAATCGTGTTCTATGGAAAATTAGACACAAATCTGTTTTATAAAATTCCAATCCAAATTGAATCCAATTTCGGTGTTTTAATTTCAAGACGAATTGAATCTGTTCTTGAATTAATTAGAGCTAAATCATAATCATGAATTTAGGTCGAATTAATCAAGAACAGATTAGAGAGAAAGAGGAATTCCAGATTTTAAAGATTTTAAAGAACAGATTACCGCATAATCAGAAACTTGAATCGGTGCAATAAACCTAGCCGAGCATCTTCATCATCCTTGCTTCACAAATCTGTGTTCAAGTCTGAGAAGAAGTTCGTCCAAGAATTCCAAGAAGCAGAAACAGTTCGTGGAGAATGGAGGAGGGAAAAACAACTTGAGTTCCAAGAAACTGAATCTGAAAAAGTGCCGAAAAAGTGTTCTGTTTACATCAATGTAAGTTTTGCTATATGTAAACGACTTAATGGGCCTAAATCTGACTAAACAAGATCCAGCCCATTAGCTTAAGTCACTAATACACTAATTACAATTCATTAAGTCCTAATCTAAAAACAGAAAATAAATCTGCACAGAGCTGCGACTTTGTAGGCAAAATTAGACATCCTTAACGTCTGAACTGGGCTTTTCTTCCAACATAGAAATTGTAAATCTCTTTCTTATCTTTCCAGGGACACCAAGAACGTTCAATTCTAAGGTCTGTAGCTCCAGATATGGCCTGTGCAAGAAAACTGTTCAAAGCAGGAAAAATATGAAAACTAACTAGGAAATGCAACTAATATCTAAAATGACTTACTAAATCAAAACAAATCTAAAAAATATCAAAATAACATCAACACAAG